GACATTTCGGGAATACTAAGTACATGTTTAGTTCCCTGTCTAACAGACGAGACGACACTTCCATTTGTTTGCAGATATTTTTATATATGCTTCAAAGTTTTGTAACGCAAATTTGATATTATGGATTTCGCGGTATAAGCACGTGACATTTTGTTTATATCGTACATTCTTTTTTTGCCTGGAACCCATTTACACATTGAGATACACTTGCATTTGGCTGGAAAAAAACGAGAACTGGGAACTCAAACTTGGACACCCCAGTTGTGGCCGAACAAGAACATTAAATATTTGGGTAATGTGAAAAAATTGCCCAAATAAACGACAATAAAGTTAATAAAAAATCCTGATTACAATGTAATATATCCAGTTAATTGAATAAACAATAAAGTTTTCCTAAAATTCCTAACTCTTGACTAAAAGCAAATCAAGTTTGTTGAACAAATGTGTGTGGGGCCAAATTATGGATGGGGTTGGGAATTAGTATTATTCCAACAATTTACCACACTAAGGAAAAACACTTACAATTATGTGGTATTTGCATTGAAGAGGAGAGACGTAACACAACGCGCATCAAGGTGTGATTTCACACAAGGTTCATCAGCAATGCTGATGGCGCACTTTCGCTTGCGTTCCCGACACAAAGTTATTTATGTAATTGATTATTTTACACATTACGTGACAATAACTGGAGAAAACGCAAAGGTCGTTTTATTTCTACAATTGATTGAAAAGCCCGGTTGGGGAAAATCACGGACGTTTTCCAGGAAGAATACTGGATAATTTACCCTATTCGGTTTATTCTGATGTTACACTATTAAAATACAGATGTCCCAGATTGCTGCGAATTGTCCTGATATTACTCAGGGTAATTATTATGCTAAGTAACTTAGTGTCCTACATTGTTCAGATATTTGATCTCCAGTCACGCTTACGCTCTCGTGTGGGTCCTACATATTAAAATATTACTGATTGAAATGCCATTTTTTGGAAATGCTGCACAGAATAAAAGATTAAGTTCATCAGTGACCAGCATTTCAATTGTAGTTTTAAACATTGTTGCGAGATGTGACACGCCCTCTTCTGGTTAATTATACGAAGCCCAATTATCCATTCTGTTACCTCCAGATGTACATGGTACAACTTTGATGACAATTAGCCACTCCTCTCTTCATAAATACATGATCAAAATATTTGAATAGAGTTTATAATGTATGATTTACAAACAAAACAACGAACATAATTGATCAGTCATCCCGGCATCCACGCCGTGGCTTTTGAAAATGGAGACCCGTCGAGGGCGCTAATATTGGTTATTCTAGTTGCAATTTCCAACGTAGATGGCACTATTACTTTTTAAAAAAATAGACTGTTTAAAAATATTATCAAACACAAGAGGGCACTATTTAAAATAATACAAAGAGTATAATAATTTTACAGGTTGATGGCGTTGTTGTCCTCGTCTTTGATGTAATTAACTTGATGGCGTAACGTTAGTTGATCAACAACTTATATACTAGTAACCCGATCTTTATATCCCGACTTAAAGTAAATAGTTTTTTCAGTTAAACATGGATTAAGGTAACACCAATTCTTTTCCATGAGTGAATACATGCTGACGCAATCGAAAGGAAACCTCGTCGTTTGGTAATGTCCTCTATTCAGTCGAACATGTGACGATTGCTTTTGTAATTCAGTTTCTACTTTGAATAGAAATTTTAAAAACCGTATCATTGTCAAATTGATTTGGTAAAGTTCGCTCGAAAGACTCACTGAAGTTGTTTTGTAAGTTGAAAATTATGTTGCAACAAGAACAATATCGCATACAACTAAAGAAACTAAATATAGACAGGCAATGGCGAAACTTTGTTGTTTAAAATAATATAAC